GGCAACAGAGGCAAGGCTCCATCTCAGAAGAGAAAAAAAGAAAGTGATCTGGAGCTTTAATTATCTGAGTGATTTGCAGAATGAAGTCTCTGAAAGAAATTCTAAGAGATCCTGCAAGATTTTAATTTACGTGTGTTTGATGCTGCCAGAGACAAATAACTTGTTTTCGTTGTTGTTTTGAGACAGAGTCTTTGGGAGGCCGAGGCAGGTGGATCACGAGGTCAAGAGATCAAGACCATCCTGGTCAACATGGTGAAACCCCGTCTCTACTAAAAATACAAAACATTAGCTGGGCATGGTGGCACGTGCCTGTAATCCCAGCTACTCAGGAGGTTGAGGCAGGAGAATTGCCTGAACCCAGGAGGCGGAGGTTGCGGTGAGCCGAGATCGTGCCATTGCACTCCAGCCTGGGTAACAAGAGTGAAACTCCGTCTCAAGAAGAAAAAAAAAAAAAAAAAAAAAAAAAAAACGGTTCAAAAAAAAAAAAAAAAAAAAAAAAAAAAAAAGAGAGTCTTGCTCTGTCCCCAGGCTGGAGTGCGGTGGACCTCCTGGGCTCCAGGGATCCTCCTGCCTCAGTCTCCCAAGTAGGACTACAGGCATGCACCACCACACCCAGCTAATTTGTATTTTTTGTAGAGACAGGGTTTTGCCATATTGCCCGGGCTGGTCTCCAACTCCTGGGCTCAAGTGATCTCCCTGTCTCAGCCTCCCAAAATGCTGGGATTACAGGTGTGAGTCACCATGTCTGACCAAGATAACTTGTTTTGCAAAGCACATTTTGGAAAGGATTTCTTAGATCTTATGCTGTTCATAAGACTACATTTTACGTAGATCAAGTTTTTTGGCTACTTCTATCATTCTTACATTCGATTTCTTTTTTTCTTGAGATGGAGTCTCACTCTATTGCCCAGGCTGGAATGCAGTGGTGCAATTTCTGCTCACTGCAACCTCTCCCAGTTTCAAGCCATTCTCCTGCCTCAGCCTCCTGAGTAGCTGGGGACTACAGGCGTGTGCCACCAAGCCCAGCTAATTTTTGTATTTTTTGGTGGTGACGGGGTTTCACCATTTTGCCCAGGTAGGTCTTGAACTCCTGATCTCAAGTGATCTGCCTGCCTCGGCCTCCCAGAGTGCTGGGATGACAGGCATGAGCCACTGTGCCCAGTTTCGTCCTTACATTCTTATAAGAAGAATGTTTCTTCTTACATTCTTACTGTATTTTCTTTATACCTTTTGGTAGACTGAATTACTGTTCATTTATCCCAATTCTTCATGTGTGTGTGTTGAGTTGGAGTCTTGCTCTGTCGCCCAGGCTGGAGTGCGGTGGCACGATCTCAGCTCACTGCAACCTCTGCCTCCTGGGTTCAAGCGATCTTCTGCCTCAGCCTTCCGAGTAGCTGGGACTACAGGTGTGTGCCACCACCCCCGGTTAATTTTTGTATTTTAGTAGAAACAGGTTTTCATCACGTTGGCCAGAATGGTCTCGATCTCCTGACCTCATGATCCACCCTCCTAGGCCTCCCAAAGTGCTGGGATTACAGGCACGAGCCACGCTCTTCATGCTCTTGCTGTATTATACCCTTCTCATTTGACATGTAGGTCTGCAATTCTTCCACTATGAGTAGAATATTTTCTCTGCCTGGTTCATGTGGAGCTTGGCCATGTGTCTTGGTCAATGGATCATTTAAGGACGTGAAGAGAGGAGTGGCCTTAAATGTGCTTGTGTGAATTGGCTTGGATCCCCTGCTCTGGGATGCAGTTGGTGCAAGGAGGATGAGACATTTGAAGCAGACCTGGGCCTAAAGCACAGCCACGCCCAGTTGACCTGCAGCTGGAGCAGAGCCACTAGACTGAGCCTGGATCAGCCCACCTGTCAATCTGCAGATCCATGAGCATGAGAATAAATGCACAGTATTGTTCTCTACTGAATTCAGGGTGATTTGTTATGCAGCAATATTGCAACAATAGCTGACAAATACACATTAGGAACGTACTTCTCATTCAGATTTTGCACATACAATGTAAGAATAAACAGTTTATATTTGTATGGCTTTTCTTTCCAAATGAATTCTTTAAAAATGTATAGTTTTTGATCTTGCTCATTTTTACTTCAGTGTTGATTTAATCTTGCCAAGAATCTTATTAACACTTTGAGATAGCCAGTTCTTGAAAAGAATGTTTCCTTTGAGTTTTGGAGTTGGCAGATGTACCATCATTTCTTTATACTCACCCTTGTACCCACTGGAGCATCACGGGGAAATGAGGCAATTTGCTAAATAAGGATGTGTCCTCCTACTTCTTTTTTTTTTTTTTGAGACAGAGTTTCGCCCTGTCGCCCAGGCTGGAAAGGCTAATATCTGAATACAGTAACTGAAGGCACTATGTAGAAATGTGGGAGGGCATCACTGTGGGCACAGGCAGCAAGTGCACACATATCATGAGATCAGAGCAAGGAACAGCCAAGGGTTGGTGTGGAAGTTGTATTCAAATTGCCTCTACCTCCTCAGTGAAATGTGAAGGAAAATTATAGGCTGTGGATAAGGAAGGAGGAAGGACTGGAGGTTTGAGAAAGATGTCATAAAGGACTCACTTATGACCCTGCAAGTTGAACAATTATAAATTTTCTAGAACAGTTTTTAAAAAGATAAATCCGGCCGGGTGTGGTGGCTCAGGCCTCTAATCCCAGCACTTTGGAAGGCCAAGGCGGGTGGGTCACCTGAGGTTAGGAGTTCAAGACGAATCTGGCCAACATGGTGAAACCCCATCTCTACTAAAAATACAAAAATTATCCAGGCATGATGGCGCATGCCTGTAGTCTCAGCTACTTGGGAGACTGAGGCAGAAGAATCACTTGAACCAGGGGGACAGAGGTTGCAGTGAGTTGAGATTGCACCACTGCACTCCAGCCAGGGCAACAGAGTGGAAAAAATAAATAAATAAAAAAGAGAAATTCCTGACATTGGTTTTTGCTGAAAAAGAA